TTTTGTGAAGGCAAAAGGGGCAAGTGGGCAGAGCTCTGCAGAGTGCTTCCCTGTCAATGCTGTGCTACATTCAGTTAAGCTTTTCACTAGATGGAGGTCTTCTAATGAATTTCTCTAGGAGGGACATACTCCTCCCCAACTTCCTATCCCACTCACACACTGACAAAAGTACATCATAAGGTGTTGGAGTTCTGAAGTAAAAAACGCAAGAGCATTTTTATAATAAAAAACACACACAACACTTCTAGGATTTATTATTGATAATTATCAGTGACTCAGGTGTTGATCAATATGTAGAAATCTGAAGTACTTGGTTATACTGTTAGCTGACAAGCTGCTCTGAATAAATTCTCAATTAGGGAAACCTGTACCACGCAGATTCTTAATTAGTGCAGTATAGATTCTCAACCTAGATTTGAAGCTCAACTTCTAGCACATACATAATACTTCACTGTGCAATATTTACATATTTTAAAGTAAATTAGACATCATAATACCTAGATTTCTAATCCTGTATTACACGAAACCAATGAAAAAATGGAACATAATTCTTTTTTATTGAGAAGAAAATTTTGTTTTCTTTATTTTGTTGATGAAATGAAATATTTTATTTTTTATTTTTTATTAAATTTATTGGGGTGACATTGGTTAACAAGGTTATATAGGTTTTAAGTGTACATTTCTATGACACATGAAGTCAAAACTGCAATGATCATCATTCTTAATGCAACACATATTGAAAGTCTAAAAGCCACCAAGTTGTAATTGTTGGAAGTTATTACAGTGATTTCCAAATTAAAAATTTGAGGCCAGTCACCCATAAAAATATATAAACTACAATAGATTAAACTACTGAAAACCTCTCAGTAATCTTATAAGAAGTCACACTAATTCATGATATAATATAAAATTACACACTCAACAAAAAATCTCAGTCTTTCAAACCACATTAACAAAGTTCATAGGAAAATAGACCTCCACTATCAAACTTCACAATATTACAGATTACATTAACTCTCATAAAGATATTCAAGATGAGGGAACATTTTTATTTACTGTGAAACAATTGTACCAAAAAGGCAAACATGTTTAAGATATTTTATATACATTATATATGTTATATATATGTACATATATATATATACTCCAAATTGTTATTTGTGATTTGATTCATATCATAAGATAAAAAACTTCCTCCCCAAATATTATAAAAAGTATACCTACACAGAAGTTAAGTCTTCCTTAATTCAACATTTCATAATATCTAGTGGCAGAAATGATGAAGTGAGCAATTTCATTTCTTAAAAAATTTTACAATTACCTAAAATCTAATTTTTAGAAATGAGATGAAGTAGGATTCCTGCCTTATTGTAAATATGTCTCAAGGGCTATTAAAGCATACACTTAAAATAGTTTATAAAAACAGTTCTATGAATTGAACAAAAGGAGGGTAGAGGGCTTATGTTCAAAGATGTACAGACTTGGCCTTTTCCTCTCTTGTTGCACTGAAGACTCATCTATCCTCACTTTTAGTTTCTTTGGCTGCTCTTGATTTCTTCATTTCTAGATCTTGATGCACTACCTTTTCTAGTTTTCCTTTTGTTCCCCTTTTCATTTTAGTTTTGAGTGTTTTCTGACAAGTTTGTTCTTTCATTGTGCCTTTTATGGCCCTATCATTTGGTTAGGCCACATTTTCCAAGGACAGGATTCTTATTGGTCTCCTCTTGGGCTCCTCCTTTCCTGTCCTTCACCAGAACTGACCTTCCTCTTGGGCATCTTGTTGAATGTGGTGCTTGCAGTCGGCATGATGCTAACTGAATGCCAGCAAGCAGCCAAGTGATGGAGCTTAATTAACACACTAACTTTCTTTGTCATTTCATTTTTTCATTTTTGTGTTTCTTCAGCAGTAGAGAACTGGGTTTTAAAATCATTGAGATTGTTTCTATATCTTAATAGAAAAATTTAGCCTTTTTACATTTATATACACATGCATTTATTGGTACAACTAGTATTTTTAATTTATTTTACTTGGAGGGGTATGTTAGTCAGTTTGGGCCAAAGTACCACAGGCTAAGTGGCCTATAAAAAACTGGAGTTTATTTCTCACAGTATGGGCTCTGGAAATTGAGATCAGGGCACCAGCATAGTTGGGTCCTGGGGAGGACTCACTTCTAGTTTGTTGAATGCCGACTTCTCATTGTATCCTCACATGGCAGAGAGCAGAGAGAAGCAAGCTTTCTTGGGTCTCTTAAAAGGGCACTGATCCCACTGTTAGCATAGGCAGAGTTAGGTATTAACTAAAGAGAAGGGAGAAAACTGGCTGAACTGGATTAAGTCTGCAAACTACACTTTCACAGACACCCCAGGGAATAAATAGCCAAAGGGATTAACATCTGCCCAATGGATTAACATCCTAGTGGATGGGAAAGGCCGGCTTTCCAGTCGCCCCAGGGAAAATCCAATCGGTTTCCCCACATTAAGGAGGGGAGGGAGGAAGGTGAAGGGGAAATTCCTTTACTAAATGGTGAGCAGTAGAAGCCAAATGGTGACAAATCTGGAGAAAAGATTGGGTAGGATAAGGGTACAAACCCAGGAAAAGCCAGAAAAGAGATTGGATAGTTTGAAAGAAAGCCTGCTCTCTCTCAAGCCCAAGGAAATGTAGGAAAGCTTACTATAGGCCCCAGTCTCTTCAGCAGCCACAGGGGCCAGAGAGTAGCTCTGATCATGCCCCGGCCCCACGGAGCCTTGGCTGTGGAGGTGCAGATGGGGAATGAGGCACGGGGAAGTTAGGTAACTTTCCCATGGTCGGCTTCCAATGCCGAAGTAATGGCATGGCAGGCAGCTCTGGGCCCTGGCCCTCCTCCTGGGCTTGGTGGGGACAAGTGTGGGCCTGTGCCCTTGAAGCTAGGCTTCTTCCACAGCGAGACGGAGCTGAACCATCTGGTCGTGGATGAGACATCCGGCGTGGGATATCTGGGGGCAGATAGACAACATCCACCAGCTACTGCTGCTGGACCTACCATGGAATTGTCTCCTCCAGTGGGGAAGCCTTTTCAAGGGTGCTCTAATAAATGTCACCACTATCACTTAAATTCCTCCTTCATGACTGTCCCTGAAATTTCTTTCTCCCCACACAGCGAGAACCTATTTCAGGACCATGCCGGGCAGACCCGCCTTGGTGCTGGTCTTTCTCCAGTAACAGCATCATGAGGGCTCCACCCTCATGACCCAATTTCCTCCCAAAGGCCTCACATCCTAATACCAACACTCTGGGAGATTAGAATTTCAACATACGAATTTTGGGGGTAGATAGACATTCAGTCCATGGCAAACAGTGACAACATTTGACATTAGAGAACACTCCTCTCTTGAAATACTTTCTTTCTTTGGGTTTAGAGAACCAACAATACTTGGATTCTCCTCCTATGTTGTCACTTGTTCCTTCTCAGTCACCTTTGCTGGTTATTTTCTTCATCTCCCTGATTTCTAAACATTGAAATGTGTGAGGAATTTATCCTTGAAATTCTTTACTCTCTACCAATACTTTATACCCAGCTGACTTCATCCAGTCTCTTAGCTTTAAAAACCATTTTAATACCAAAATTTATATCTAAAACTCAGATGGCTCCACTGATTTCTGGACTTGTTTATTAAGTGAGCTTTTGACGTCTCCATTTGGGCATCTCTTGAGTCACCTGAAGATGACCTCCTGATCTCCGCTCCTCCAGCTACTGAGCCCCGCTTTCCTCACACCTGCTTCTTGTGAACTCTTCTTAATTCAGATATAAGGCAACTCCATTTACCAATTTCTCTAACCTCCTTGGCCAAAAACCTTGAAGTGATCCTTGTCTTTTCAATTTTCCTCATACCCTTATTTGATCCACTAGGAAATCCAACCAGCTATTTCTTCAAAGCATACTCAGAACTGACCACGTTTCCCGACCACTACTGCTCCACATTTCCCCAATCCCAGTCACTTTCATCTCTTGCCTGGTGATGAAATAACCCTAACTGATCTCCTTTTTCCCATTATTGTCCCTCTTTAGTCTGTTCTCCACACAGCAAAGGGACCTTTTAAAAACCTAATTCAGGTCATGTGGTTTCTGTGCTTGAAGCTCTGCAATGATTTTCCTTCATGCTTACATGAAAAGCAAACTCTACCATGACCTACAAGGCTGTGCTCCACCTGGCTCCCTACACCTCTTTGATGTCAGTCACTGTCTCCCCTCTTCCTAACTCTCTCCACCCTCACTGCCCTCGCTGTTGTTCTAACATGACAATCATTTTCCTGCCCCAGGGCCTTTTCAACTGCTCATTCCTCTACCTTGAGCGCTTTTATCCCAGGAAGCCACATAATTTACTCTTTCACTTCACTGTGGCCTCTGCTAAGGAAACACACTCATTATATTTATTGCAACATTTGTGTGTGTGGGGGGATGAGGGGGTAATAGTGGGAATAAAAAGAAACACACAGAGTGTTTCTCAGAGAAATGGTACAGAGCTGTGATAAATCCATTTTATGGAATATTATGAAACATGTGTGTTAACATCAATAGGTCAACAGGACACATAATTGAGTATCATAACTCAAATTGCAACTGCTATGCATTTGGACATTGTAGTCAGGGAAAAATTTATATACATGTATATAATATACATATGTTTTTCAGAATGTATTCATATGTCCTTTAAAAATAACAAATTAATAGTAAAGGTTAGGCCATTATATTTCACCTCTCCCAACTGCTTTCTATAATTTTGTTCATCTCTTTCTCTTTTATTTTCATCTAGGAAGCATCTCTATTCCATTCCAAAGCTAATATCTTTACTTAACCTCTCGATAACATTTCTATTTTTCTAAGAAAAAGAGAAAATGATCCCATTCTCATTAAATCTTTATCTAACTATCCTCTGATATAAGCGATATCTCCTTTTTTTCTGAGTTCATTTTGTACTTTTTGGGGGGATGCTACTTGATCACACACACATACATATTTGTCTTTCCTACTATACATACTGCAATGTCTTCTGAGCAGAGACAAAATTTCGTTCATTTTAAAATTTCTTAAGACCTAGCACAAGATCCAGCTTATAGAAGATCTCCAATAAATTTCTGTGCACTTATTTTCATTAAAGAAATCACATTTAATCTTGAAGATGCAATTTGAAAAAATATTTTAAGATATTAACTTCCATTAAATGACATTTTGAAGAAGAAAACAGTTTAAACAAAAGGAAAAATCCCCTTCCAGCCTGATAGTCCTTTTGCTCCTGATAATCTGTAGATGGTCCTCAGGAGAGACTGGAATGAGGGCTCTGGAGTTTTGGTGACTGCTGATGAGCTGGGTGCCCTGATGCTTTTGAATCACTAGGAGACACTATAGGCTTTACTCTGAATGAGAAACTTTTGTCTCAAGTTCTGACATAGTTGAGTCTAAGTTAAAATTTAAATGAGGGTTAGCAGCAGTTAGGAGAGCATCTGAACTAGCCATATACTATTAGAACAAGGTGAATCTCCATATATTCATCTGTGAGGAAGGTCTGTGGCTGTGCTGAGTATAACAGAGACGACTCTCCAAGCAGAGAGCATTAGCTAGGCCCACGGTAAAGCTGGAAGCTCCCATTGAAAACATACATTACCCATTTGCAGTTTTGGTTTTCATGATTATAAGTCCTAAAATATGAACCTTTACATTCACTTTAAAATTACTCTAGTGATATCTGCCTTCTATTATACCTCTTCTGAGATTAGAAGAACAGAGGAAAAGGAAATGAGAAGATGAAATGGGAGAAAATGAACAAATGAAGAGAGAGGGGAGAAAAGAGAAAAAAGAAAAGAGAGGTAGGGGAGAAAGAAATAAGACATAGTTACTTGAATTTCAAAATGTGGCCTATACTTATAGTCACAGAGCAGAATCAGCCAGGTGTACGGGGGAAGTATTGGACAGAAGAAGGGAGATAGAAATGGGGTCAGGGTGGCCATCATATACATGTTCTGTTTCTGCATTAACCAAAATCTTGTTGGAGACATTGTATGTGTTCATAACAATCATAAGTCTGAGGTTTACAGAATTCTCCTAATTTAATCTAGTTGTATTCCATTAAGAGGATTAAATAAATAAAGGGTGTATCCAATGATATATTCTTTCTTTGTGAGAGCTCCCTTATAAATGAATTCTCAATTGCTTTTCAAACTATGTGCCCTGATTGTTGGCTAAAGAAATTAGATCACCGACCCTGATAAATTTTTCAAACTATACTTGACCCAGATGAGGCCCTTGTTTCTTTCTGAGGTATCCTTTCCCTGCCTGGTATCCTTTCCCTCCTCTCCTGGCATGTCTGATTACTGGGACACTTTAAGTGGAGGCAATCCTGTGAGGGTGCAAAGCCTAGAGGTTTATTTTTTCCTTTTTATTGAATTTATTGGGATGACATTGGTTAACATAATTATACAGGTTTCAGGTGCACAATTCTACAACACTTCACCTGTGCACTGTATTTTGTGTTCACCACCTGAAGTCAAGTCTCAGCCTAGAGGGTTCTGTGTCTGTGGTCATCAGTGTAGCAGCCAGAAGGGCACTGATATCAGCAGCAATGTTGGTACCTGCGAGAAAACTAGCAGAAGATGTCGTGGCTCTCTGATCCACTTGTCTTCCTCTTCATTAAAGATAGATAGGGCTCAGCCTACTTGTTACTTTCTTCTCAGCTATTTGAGACAGAAGAAAGGCTTTCTCAAGAGAATGTTTCCTTCTTTGGGGCCCACTGATCTCTACAGACTAAGCTCTCTCCAAGGTCCATACTTTTCTGCTCTTCATTCTGGAGTTCCCTGCTACGTGGTTC